AAAATTTTGATTTCAATCCTTATTTGACTGGGCTATAATATAGTCATTTCATAGTAAGGAAATATATGTAGTACTATATCATTCTATACGTAGGAGCACCACACAGCAGCAGCAGCGGCTATATTATGGTTGTAGCACAAATAAGTCGGCTCGACCGGGGAAGAACCACGCTCTCAAAGAAGAGCAGCGGAAAATTGCAGCTTAAGGCGATACCCCGAACAAAACCTTGCGATAGTGCGTTTTTCTTCGTTATTCAGAGACTATTATCTCATTAGTTTTGAGAAATATATTACATCTAAAAGCACATTATTAATGTTCTATATTCTATCATCACATTCCACGTTCTAATTTGTTTTTCATCATCATCATCATCATTACAGCCTTTCATAAGTCCACTGCTGAACATAGGCCTCCCCCAAGGAATGCCACAAAGCACGGTCCTGAGCCACCTGCATCAAAAATTTGTTTTTATGTGTTATAAATACATTTAAAATATACTTTTAAAAAATGACTAAAATTATTGATTACGTGCATCTGTTGCTAAAGGCAACGCTCTAATCATTTGAGGATTACACTAATGGATAAATAATTTAAAAATCTATATTATTCACGTTTTATTTAATTTTTAAAATTCGCTTTTCTTTTTTACTCGTAATTAAAATTAATTCCAAAAATGTGTGAATTCTATAATAAAAGAGCGTACGCAGAGTGCGGGCGGCAGTGCACTGCATGCTCAAGGTTATTAGGTCAGGTAAACGCCTTAACGATGCTGCGTTTCGTATGTTGAGTGTAGAGAAACTGAGATCCTGACATCTTAGTCCTCACAGGCAACAACGCATCTGCACTTTGATTTTTAATCGCGGATAGATGAAGATGTCAATGGGCTACAGCATCCACTTACGGTTAGGTGGACTGTGTGCTCGTTTGTCACTCTTATTCTATTAAAAATATTATTTGTCCTCATATCGTAAGATTCATTCACATAAATTGCTCACAGGGTTCTTATGTGATTCAGTTGAGAGCAATGAATTATTGAACACCACTCGACTCTCGGTCGTTAACGCAATTCAAAAGCCTTCGTAAGTGAGAGAACTGTGTCAACGAAACACTCTGTACAATGTTAGTTTTATTTTTAAATCAATTTGATGCTAAAACATATTCAAATTAGGTTTTATAGAAGTAAGATACGATGATTTCGTGGCGTATTGGTTGCTGAGATGCGACGCAGAGGAACAAGTATTTGTATGACCTACAAGTAATCATTCCGGGTCTTAGTGTTCTTGTGTAATTGCACACCTCACAACGTGAGTGAGTGCCCTACTCTCGATATGTGGCCATATCTCAATTTCGCTACATAAAATCGTTCTTATACTTTCAGTTAGACATCAAATCCATATTAAATGAATAATAAGATTAGTTTATTTTCTGATTCACTTTAGATTACATAACAAAAAATGTAATTGAAAAAATATACGGAATGCCGTCCGTTGGTCTGTGCGTCGGTGAGTCTTCTCTCTTAATATAAATGTAAGCAATGGATTGAGATATATAGTATTAAATAAAATTCCATATATTCTAAGGAGGATCAGTATTGACTTTTCTTATTGAACTCAATATCGTTTAAAAGTTATTTATTTTTTTCATCAAAATTTTATTTATTTATACTGAAAAAAAATTAAAACTTTCACGAGGAGTATACTTTTGGATTTTCCAAACTATTTATGTTGTAAACTGTCTTCGACGTAAGACAGTGAATTTCGTTTGTCGAATTTTTGAACCTACTAAATCTCCTAGCGTTTCGAAATGAGGTTCCTCTGACCGGAGAAGAAATAGGAAAGAAACTCCGCAGGTATCTTCTTTTGCCATTTTTTAAAAGTTAATATTACATATCACAGTATATATACACAATGAAAAATGGCACAACAGACCCATCAGTAACTGAAGTTCGTTCTATTATGTACACAACAAAACACAATTCTAAATTTGGAGCCTTGCAGCTTATAGCGAACCTGTGCAGATCAGCCTTAACACTCTCAAGCAGCACCTCTTCACAAGTGTGACACGTGTTGCACCCATCCCTCTCTTCAGTCATATTTAGGGAAGTGGGCGTGACATAATAGTATAGGTCGGTTATATATCGGTTACTATGAATCTATGAAATATCAGGGACAGTGCTGATATTTTTTTTAAAACGTTACCTCCATACTAGGATTTTCTCCTGTATCGTGGAGGCAGTTTACATACATAAATTTCACAAGGACAAACATCCAGACCCGGCACAATTATTTGTAGGCCATAACAAATACTTCTTCCGTGCGGGATTCGAACCCGCGGCCCTTGGCGCTGCAACTCATTGTCAAGCCACTGCGCCACGGAGCCGTCAATCTGAAATATGAGATGAGGATACACATAAGCATACGGCGTATATATAGCCACTACCCCATATCATTTCACGTGTGTGGTAAGGGGCAATAAAGGGAAACTAAAACAGGAGATGAGTAGCAGTATCTTTTTGATAAGAATACAATAATTTAAAAAAAGCTGCGGTTACAAGCACTAGCTTTCAAATAAAAGAAGAATCATCGAAATCGGTTCACCTAGAAAAAAATTATGGGGTAACCCACATAAAAAAACCATACAGTCAAATTGAGTACCTCCGCCTTTTTGAATTCGGTATAATAATCCAATCTAGCTGTTTCAACATTGATAAGACTTCTAATCTTTCATACGGTTACAGCATAATATTCTACAAAACTAAGTCTGCTTGCTAATCTAGATATAAAGGGGGCCCCATTGGTGCTTTGCGTCAATAGTAACAAGTAGTACCAAAAAAAAAACATTTGAATCCATAATACTCCAGCAGCAGTGCCTCGCCATAGTATATTGTTACAAGATGATGACTAAAAAAAGGCGTGGCTTACGGTTGCGTCACCGAGATGGTGGGGTAAAAGCCGGTCGCGGTTGCAGCGGCACTTTGGCTCGAACGGTCGGAGAGAGTGGACGTGCTAGGAATTAGATTATTGCTTAAGTTGCTAATTAATAATTGAGATTGTAAATGTAATAAGAAGTTTATAATACAAGTTTTGTTTTGGGTGCATTTTTTATTTTTGAATTTTACTTCTGGTCGAAAATATCAAAAGTGGGATAGTGCTTCGTCACCTACCCGCTTTTGGAACACCTGACTAACATTAAAATTTAGTTTTAGTAGTTGTCTTTTTACTTAGTGTTCAGTTTACAAATCTTAAAATGTCTGAACAACAATCTCGCTCTCGTAAACGCAAGCATGAGTCGAACAAGGATGTGCTGAATGCTATCCTTGCTAGATTGAATACGCTTGGGGAACGTTTTACTTCGCCGCCACCGCCGTCCAAGCCACTTTTACAGGCCGCGTCAACATCTTCGGGGCAGGCACCGCACCCGGTACTGTCCGCGCTAATGATTGGTGCAGTCACCGACGACGTACGCGACGACGACTCGACGGCATTTCACGCACCCGTCTCGGTATCACGGGAAAGCATTACCACAGGCGGAGACACAACTGGCGGAATCGTGGAGGCCATCACTTCGTTAGTTAAAGTAAGATCTAATAATTATTATATTTCTAACTTTGACCCTCATTTTCACAATATCGACGTTTGGTGCGAGGAAGTAGATAGGGCTAAAGAAACTAACGAATGGGACGATAACGAGTGTTTGTCGCGAATCGGTAATTTTTTGAAGGGAGAAGTAAGTGTGTGGCTCAGTGAGTGGTCCAGCTCCGATCGTTCGTGGACGTATTTCAAACGAGAATTTAAAATGCTGTGTCCTCGAACCCTCGATATTGCATCTATTCTTTACGAAGTGATGACCAAAGATTCTAAAAGTTACGCTACTTACGCCGAATACGCTAGACGTTCGTTGTTAAGGTTGGGTTTGGTTAGGGGACTATCTGACGAACTGATTGTCGCTATAGTATTAAGGGGCATCACAGATCCTCATATTAAAGCTGCAGCTACTAATGTAAAGTTACAACCCAACGATTTAGTTCACTTTTGTCGATGTACATAAAACCAAAAAATGATTTTCCGTCTGCCCGTGATATCACTCGTGGATCGCATCCTAGTTCTGAATTAAATATTACCCGACGGAGTGACAATAAAAAGGGGGTTGGCGACTTAAGATGACATTTTTGTAGGAGGTTTGGGCATAAGCGTATAGACTGTAAAAGTGCTAAAAGAATGCGACTAGGTAATAATTCAGGGCCGTCGTCGTCTAACATACAGTCACCGCATTCTGTAACATGCTCATTTTGCAAAAAGAGTGGTCATGAAATTAATGACTGTTTTGCCAAACAACGTTCAAAGTCGACAAAACTTAACCCGCACAATGTAAATTTTTGTAGTAAATTAGACAGTAATGTTTCGAAATCGACAATCGATGTTACAAGTGCAGTAATTGAAGGCATTGCGATTGATTTATTAGTAGACAGCGGTTCCTGCATATCATTCGTATCGAGTTCACTGTTGAAACATTTTAAGGTTAACCAAAGACCGACATACCGCATTTTATGAGGTATAGGAAGTCAACTTATCGAATGTTCCTCGTTTGTGACATTAATTGTGGAGCTAGCTCACATATCTATTGAAGCCGAATTTTATGTGGTACCCCACGATTGTATCAGTACTCCGGACATTATAGGCACCGATATTCTGAATCGTGAAGGCATCACATATATCCGGCAAAATGGTGTTCAAATTCTGACGCGTACAGGCAAACCTTTACCGGTAAACCATGCTTTTGATATTAATAATGTAAAGACACCTCTTAAAGGTGAAGAGAAAGAACAGCTTTTGTTGGTTATCAGTGATATTTCAAAGTTCTTTATAACTGGCACGGCTTCATCAACAGTCACGACAGGTAGCATGAAAATAGAACTTTCCAACAATGAACCGGTATGTTATAGGCCGTATAAATTATCTTACGATGAGAAGCTTCGCGTTCGGAGTATAGTTAAAGACCTAATGGATAAAGGCATTATACGTGAATCCGAATCACCATACGCCAGCCCCGTGATCTTGGTTAAAAAGAAAGATGGCACGGATCGAATCTGCGTAGATTATCGGGTTTTGAACTCACGCACTGTAAAAAATAAGTTTCCCTTGCCACTCATAGAGGATCACATTGATAGGTTAGGGTCAAGTAGATTCTTTACGAGTTTAGATATAGCGACTGGCTTTCATCAGGTACCTAGGGAAGCAGGATCAATTGCCAAAACCGCTTTCATGACCCCAGAAGGTCACTTCGAATATGTTAAAATGCCTTATGGCCTTTCTAACGCTCCAGTATTTTATCAAAAAATCATTTCAAAGACTCTCAAGTCTTTCATCGACTCAGGAAAGGTCCTTGTGTACATAGATGACGTCCTTTTGCTATCCGATACGGTACTCGAAAGATTAGCCCTACTACGACGGGTCTTAAAAACCCTTACTTCATCTGGTTTTTCTGTAAATCTTAAGAAATGTACCTTTCTTAGCAGTGAAATAGAGTATCTTGGGAGGGTTATCAGTAATGGTCAGGTTAGGCCAAGCATGCGTAAGGTCCAGGCATTGGTTGATTCCCCAAAGCCTCGAAGTGTTAAACAAATTCGACAGTTTCTTGGCCTTGCGGGATATTTCAGAAGATATATTCCAAATTATGCCCAGCGAACAGCTTGTATCGCACATTTAACTAAAAAGAACATGCCGTTTGAGTGGGGAGTCGAACAAGATAAAGCTCGTCAGTATATTATTGACCGTTTAACATACGAACCCGTCCTTGCAATATACGACCCTCAGTTACCTACGGAGGTGCACACAGATGCAAGTGCTATCGGTTACGGTGCAGTCTTAATACAGATTCATGAGGGTGGGCTTAGGCCTGCAGTAGTGTATTTCAGTAAATCAACCCAAGGCACGGAACCCAAATATCATTCCTATGAATTGGAAACTCTAGCCGTTGTTAAAGCTCTCCAGAATTTTAGAAAGTACTTGCTAGGCGTACCCTCTAAAATTGTTACGGACTGTAATGCTCTAAAGCTAACCGAGCGTAAGAAGGACTTGAATAGAATAGAATAGAATAGAATGATTTTTATTCAATATGGATTATTACATAATACTTATTGAAAGTCATTATTTTATTTACCACTGGTTCGGAAAATACCTCTGTCCTGGGAGAACCAGCAAGAAACCCAGCGGGACTTTTTTTTAAACATAATTTCACTTAACAATAATTTTGTTTATACAATTTTAAATGAATTTTCATAGAACCAGCATGGTGGCGATCACCTTATTCCCAGGGGTTATTTTCATTCATGTATTCCTTGATATTATAATAACCCTTTTTGTACAGTTTTTCTTTAATAAAACTTTTAAACTTGTTTATTGACAAACTTTGAACATGTTCTGGGATTCTGTTGTAAAAGCGTATACATTGCCCCATAAATGAATTACTAATTCTGTGGAGTCTTGTAAGTGGCATTACAAGCTTATGTTTGTTCCTAGTGTTTAAGGTATGAACATCCTTATTCTTATTAAAGCTATTTATGTTTTTATGTACATACATTACATTTTCCCGTGTAGCTGGGTGGTGGTTATCCATGCAAGACTTCCAGTATACTTTCGAATACAAGGGGTCTTTAATGTCCCATGCCGACTACCTAAGCAGGAACCCTGTGGAGGTATGCCATATTCAAAACCCCAAAAATTGGACCAAGTTAGCCCAATCTGCAGATAAGGAGACACTTAATCTCATTGATAAATTCAATAACGGTCAACTAGACTCATCCCGATGCGTGTTACGAAATGGACTATTATATGTCAAATATTTTCCCATTGGCGAAGAATCCCGCCTATTGTGCTATATTTCCAAAGGATTTAGACTGAGTCTGCTTGATGTGTTTCATGATGACCAAGACCACATTGCGTACGATAAAACGATAGAACTTATTTTACGTCATTTCTGGTTTCCTGGATTACGCCCTTTTGTTAGGAAATATCTCAAGCATTGTATTGTTTGTCTATCACACAAACGAGTGCCGCGTGCCTCTCATCAACCCATCAAATCTTGGACTAAGCCAGACTTACCATTTTCACTAGTACACATGGACACACTTGGTCCATTGCCTGAATCTCAAGGTTATAAACACGTATTGATTATTATTGATGCATTTACGAAATATTGCCTTCTATACTCCCTCCGTCGTAAGACACTGACGAATTGAAAAGAGCCTTTACTAACGCGGTTTCGATGTTTGGGTCTCCGAGACTTTTGGTCGCGGATCGAGGACGGATGTTTGAGAGTGCCGCTTTTCAAGATATGGTCAGTTCGTTTGGCAGCAACATTCACTTCATTACGCTAAACATGCACCACAAAAATGGACAGGCCAAGCGTTATTGCCGAACTTTACTAAACCTTCTTCGTATCGAAGTTAACCATAGAGGTCAGAGTTGGTGTTGTGGAAGACTCAACTTATTTTAAATAGTACAAAACACAGTAAGACCAATATGTCTCCCCTTCAGTTGCTTATCGGAAGCGACACTTCCACCCCAGTTATACGTGCCCTTGTACGAGATGTTGCAATAGATATTGCTACCCCAAACCGTGAAGCGCTTATGGCGCTGCGAAGACACCGTGTGTAGTCACTACTGTCTAATAAACAGCAAAAACAAGACGATCGTGTAAATAAAGGCCGTAGATCACCTTACGAGTTTGAGGTTAACGACAAGGTATTTGTGATTAAGGCTTCGCAGTCAGCGGGGAAATTAGATTCCTGTATGCGCGGACCTGACAAGCTATTGAAAAGACTTCTACATCATCGGTATAAATTGGAGCTGTTGGCTGGCTCGTACGGGAAGCGTACAGAAGCTGCAGCTGAAAACATAGTGCCGTGGGCAGGAGAGTGGACTCCCGAGACCTGTGCTGCGTTTTTTGATTCTAAGTCATCGATGATATTATGTTTGTCTATTATGCAAATGTTTTGCTTATGTGTCGTTGTATGTATGGGTTACTGTACTTATACATATCCACGTTGACATTGCGATGTTTTCTCTGTCACGGCAGATGGACCACTCACTTAGAGTTTTCCATGTACACGTTGGTATCGAGTGTGATTCTCTACCACGGCAGATGGAAGGTTCGAAGGAATCTCTTCCATACTTACATTGACATTGAGATGTTTTCTCTGTCACGGCAGATGGACTACTCATTCGCAGTTTTTCATGTTCACGTTGGTATCAAGTGTGATTCTCTATCACGGCAGGACAGTTGCCCAGTGAGGGTACTATCACGGTATACTAGTTACTACCGTAATATAGCCAACTGATGTATGGTGTATGAGGTCCCTCCAGAGAACGATGTGAATGAATGTGGTTAATAGTTTGAACATTTTTTATGAGAGATGAGTGTAATGTTATGAAGTATGAACGTTTTCTTTGTAAGAAGTATGCTGTTACGAGATATAAAAGGATAAATTCTAATGTGTTCAATTCATTTGTAACTTTTAGCGGAGTCAGATGACTCTTTACATGAATATTCGGAGGAGGCTGAGGCGAGGTCAAATCTCGAAAACATAAAGGTTGCGGACGAAGACGACCGCCTGTCAGGAGAGGCCGTGTTACAAGATGATGACTAAAAGAAGGCGTGGCTTACGATTGCGTCACCGAGATGGTGGGGTAAAAGCCGGTCGCGGTTGCAGCGGCACTTTGGCTCGAATGGTCGGAGAGAGTGGACGTGCTAGGAATTAGATATTTGCTTAAGTTGCTAATTAATAATTGAGATTGTAAATGTAATAAGAAGTTTATAATACAAGTTTTGTTTTGAGTGCCTTTTTTATTTTTGAATTTTACTTCTGGTTGATAATAATATGTACTTTACGTTTGAAGTAAACCATCTGGATAATGGACGGTCCAACACTGTGCGATTTACCAGAAGTTTTTTCCTCGCACTACTTCCTACTGGTTTTTCCGGACCGGTCAAATACAAGAAAAAGCCTACTCTTTTTTAAAATGCTCGCAACGCACCTGCAATTAACTAAGTGTAATACCACACTAATCATTGATTGAACATCGTTTATCGATCGACATCGATCCATGTCGATCAATGGCATCGATCGACGATGGATCTTTTTTTTTTATAGGAGATGGGGCAAACGAGCATGCGGCTCACCTGATGGTAAGTGACTACCGCCGCCCATGAACAACCGCAACATTAGGGGAATTGCAGAAGCGTTGCCGGCCTTTAAATGCCGATCTATTGATGTGGTAACACCCTTAGTGTTGCAGTTGTTCATAGGTGGCGGTAGTCACTTACCACATGCTCATTTGCCCCTCTTATATATAAAAAAAAAACAAAATGGTTACACTGATATAATATCGGAAGTCATTTCAGATTTTTCAGGCATTTCTCATAGTAATCTCCTACAGGACCATAGGAAGAAATGGATGATACTTTTTCACACCCGCTATCACACAGCAAACAATACGGTAGATTTACGTGGTAGAGTCATAACAGCATACCGCAACTATACTATGGTCACCCTTTCTCTATAAAGATAATTAAGCAATAATAGTTAAAGAAAAGATAAAAGGGTATATTTTCATAGTTTTTAATATTATATTTGCTTTTTTATAGTATAAGTGTGTGTGTGTGTGTGTGTGTGTGTGTGTGTGTGTGTGTGTGTGTGTGTGTGTGTGTGTGTGTGTGTGTGTGTGTGTGTGTGTGTGTGTGTGTGTGTATGTGTGTGTGTGTGTTACAAGTTACATACTTATATAAACAAACTTCAAATTATATCGACAAAGTGCGCACATAAATAAAGTACAGCGTTTTCTCAGCCGCATTAAACAAAATACTTACTTACTTACTTATCTTCAGGCACAATCCCTGACGGGGTAGCCAGAGAGAACAGATCGCCAAGTGTCACGATCCTTACATACCATGTATGAAGAAGATAATGAATCTGAAAGAAGCGAAAGTTCTTTCAGATTCATTATCTTCTTCATACATGCACGTCTAGGTATCCGAGTACTTTTGACCCTACCCTCTTCGAGCAATTTGCTCACATGGTCTTCGAAAGTTAGTCTCGGTCTGCCTCGACACCTTTTAATATTAATTTTCGCGGTATATATTTTCTTCACCATTCGGTCTTCACTCATTCGCTCATCGTGCCCAAACCACCGAAGCACGCCCTTATCAATTTTTGTGATAAGGTCATCTTTCAAACCTGCCATATTGCGAATCTCTTCGTTTCGCTTTCGGTCGGCCATGGTAACGCCGCACATTTTACGAAGAGATCGCATCTCCACTGCATTCAACTTGCTTTTATGCTTCTTCTGGCATACCTAGGTTTTGCTGCCATATAACAAAGTCGGTACCATCACTGCGTTATGTATTGCAAGGCGTGCACTCTTCACTACACCTTGCCTTTTGACTAACGCAGTCAGGGCACCATTGACTTTGTTCCCGGCAGCGACACGCCTGTCCACATCTAAATCACATCTTCCGTCCCGGCTAAAAGCACTCCCCAAGTATACAATTTAATTTACCTGTTCTAGACATTCCTGATTTACCCATATTTCACACTTCGTTCTCTCTTCGTCCCTTTCAAATACCAGAACCTTAGTTTTATTAGCATTCAAACGGAGACCTTTAATTTCACATTCCTCTTTCATACACGTGACTAATGCCTGCAGTTCTGCCTCTGATGGTGCAATAAGCACTGCATCATCAGCATACAGCAGACAATTTACTTTTATGTCACCCAATTTCACACCCAAAACAGCTATCTTTCAGCTTCTGTAAACAGCTGTCGAGATACAGTATGAACAGCCAGGAAGACATGACACAACCCTGTTTTACGCCCGTTTGGATACTAAACATGGGTGACAGGTCATGCCCTACCCGCACACAGGCTTTAGAGTCACAGTAAAGAGACTGCACAGCCCTTAGCAATCGACCATCCACACCATACCCCGGCAACAGTTCCCACATTTTCTTCCTTACAACCTTATCAAATGCTTTCTCAAGATCCACAAAAGCACAGAAAATCTTCTGGTTAGAAGCCAGAAGCTTTTCCGTGATC